TCTGTCCTGGAAGAAATGCAGCTGGAATTCTCCTTAGAAATGAAAATGGCCAGACTTCATCTCACAGACTTTGGTCATGTTGCCAGAGGGACGTTTCCCTGGAGAAGTATATCATGCTTGGTAAAGGGGAGGGTCAGCAAGAAAGGGAAAGACCCTCAACAAGATAGACTGACACAGTGGCTGTAATGATGGGCTCAAGTATAGCAAGGACTGTGAGGATGGCACAAAACCAGGTGATGTTTCATTCTGTTTGTACAGAGGGTCGCTATTAGTTGGCACCAACTGGATGGCACCTAACAACAACAACAGTAATAATTGTTACACGCAAAAATCATCAACGGATGTTAAAATTAGTGGGTGAAAGTATAATGACAAATAGCATATTTGCTTGGTTTTAAAGTACACAGCCACAAAATGTTTATTCATTACAAAGGAAAAATACTTAATGGTCAAGTAACTTAATGGTCGAGAAACCTGACCGACACCACCTTAACCAACTAATCAAAGTTAACATAACCAGTAATGAGACACATCAACATTATGCACATCCTGACACAACACACTAAGTATACTGAGGTATTCTTGCCAAACATTCACTGCCTTAATCTAACCATGAGAAGATATCAGACAAATCCAAATTAAGGAACAATCTACAAGATGACTTGCCAAATCTCTCTGAAAGTGCCAAGGACATGAGAGACAAAGAAAGATGAGAAACTTACTCATAATGGAGAAGACTAAAGACACACAAAGGAGCCCTGATAGCTCAAATGGTTAGGCAAAACCCACCTGGGTTCGAACCCACCTAGCAGCTCCGTGGGAGGAAGATCCGGTGATCTGCTTCCATAAAGATTACAGCCTAGAAAACCCTAGGGTAAGTTCTACTCTGTCACATGGGTGTTATGAGTCAAAAATGACAGTACCTAGCAGTAACAACAGGAGACACAACTAAATGCCATCTGGGTTCCTGCACTGGATCTCTGAACAGAAAAGAACATTAGTGGGACAACTGGCGAAATTCAAATAAGGTTTGTAGTTGTTATCAGTAGTAGAATTGTATCAAAGTTAACTTTTTGGTTTAGAAAATTTCATTACATATGTTATTAATATTAATTAATTAATACTTTAAAGAGGCCTTTTACAGCAGATTTGCCCAATGAAATATGTCGTTTGATTTCTTGACTGCTGCTACCACCTGGCATTGACTATGGATCCAAGTAAAATGAAATCCTTAACAATTTCAATCTTTTCTCCATTTATCAAGATGCTGCTTATTGGTCCAGCTGTGAGGATTTTGGTTTTCTTTATGTTGAGTTGTAATCCATACTGAAGGCAACAGTCTTTGATTTTCATCAGTTAAGTGCTCTAGGCCTTCACTATCAGCAAGCAAGTTTGTGTCACCTATGTATTGCTGGCTGTTAAGGAGTCCAGCTTAAGAGTGCTTAAAATAACGATGCATATTACAATTGATACATTAGATTTGATGAAATACAGTAATGAATAAGCATTTTTAAAAACGCTTTTTTTCCAGAATGAATTATTTATTTTACAAATGTTTATTAAAAACTACTAGCCCCTGGTACTACTACTACTATCAGGCACTAGGGATACAATATTGGTCCCCCTCCCTGTGGGCAAGATCTACTGTTGCTTGCTCAGTTTTGCCCAATTTCTGGACTGTACATGATCAAAGTAGGAGGTTCATGAGGAGCTCTATCCCCTCCACCAAGTGAGACATGTAATTATTCTTGATCCATTTTCTCAACACAAGCTACCCATTCCAAACCTACCCTTCCACACAATTGGAATTCTGCCTAATTTTTTTTTTTTTTTTCTAATTGTGATTTGGGTGAAAGTTTACAGAGCAAATTGGTTTTCTATTCAGCAGTTCATACACATTTTGTTTTGTGATGTTTATTGAAACCCCACAATATAACAGCACTCTTCCCACTTCCTCTTGCCTTCATCCTTCCTTCTGATTCCTTCCTGCCTTCTTAGTTTTACCCTAGGCAAATGCTGCCCTTCTGATCTCATGTGGTTGATTATTCTAAGGAGTAAGTACTTCTCTGGTATTACTTTTCACCTTACAGGCATACCATTTGGCCAAAAGCTGAGCCAAGAGTGAGTTCAGTTCCTGGATTGATTGAAGGGTATCTAAGGACCATAGTCTTGGAGGTTTCACCAGTCTATACCTGTGATCCTGCATATCCTACTGAAATTGGTGCACTGTCCTGAACCCCAGCTTCCTTGGCAAGGTTCCAGACATCTTCCCCAAGCTAAACCAATCCTGCATATCCTACTGAAATTGGTACACTGTCCTGAACCCCAGCTTCCCTGGCAAGGTTCCAGACATCTTCCCCAAGCTAAACTAATTCCATGGACCAGCTCACATATTCTTGTAAGTGGTGAGTAAAGATCTATAGCATACTAGATACACTTCTGGAACCATACTATGATTAGTAGCTAAACCATGGGACAGCTCAGGAACCCTATGAGCTGGTCATAGCAAGCATCTCACAATTCCAAAGCATAAATACATTATACCCATTTAGAACTTCATGGCTACATTTGCACCTCCCTCTACCTGATATGCCCACTTCCCCATTTTCTGCTTGGCATCACCTTCACAGTCATCCTTCAAATTCTACTTCTTCTGTGAAACACCTCCAGAATTAGTAGCTTCTGCCTACTGCTTTTCTGGGCAGTAGTAGAGCAATAGCTAAAGACATAAGCTCTGCTTAAGTTCAAACTTCAACGCCACTTAATGTGTGACCTTAGCAAGTTTCTCAGCCATTCTGCTTTGGTTTTCCTCAGCTAACAAAAGTGAGTAATCACACCTTACAGGATTGTTATGAGGATTAAATACGCTGATAATAGTAAAAGCCCCGCATCCTGTTATTGCTTCTATCTATACCCAACCTCATGGTATCACATTTGTTCACATGCATGTTCGTGGCCAAGTCTGAGCTTTTCAAAGAGCTGAAGTTTCTTATTTTATTTTTTTGCATCCAGAATGTATAATCTAGGGCATGAATATAATACACAGTGGATAAATGTAAGGGACCAACTCATGAGTGAAAAATAAAAACTCTTAGTCCAGTAATGTCTATGATTACAGAAACCATGCTTTCAAAATAACAATCAGAGCACATGCTTTATGGGTATACTAGAAGCAAATATCTAAAATCAGGCCTTGCCTGGAAAATCTAATCTACCTAACTGCCAGAACTATCTAGAAAGAATCTAAATGCTCAAAAGTTAGAGTGGTTATATAAATAACAGCATTTAAAAACAGGAGACCTATGTTGATACACAAAGAGCTGGGCAAAATACTAAGCAGAAAAACAAAAAAGAGGAGAATATACACAGTATTGTTCCAAGAGTGATACTCAAAGAGAACAGACTATTTCTTTGCATGTATCTAAAACTACATGGTGAAAGAATCTTTGTATTTTGTTAATTTATTTTGATTTAAAGATGAATAAATTTTAAAATTATACTTATAATGTTACTACATAAGAAACAATATAAATAGTTGTAAAAATATATGTATTTGTACACAAAGGGGAAAAAAAGAAACTTGAAAAAGTTAGTTATTTGTCCATTTGTCTTTTTCCCAAAGAGTACCCCCCAAAATAAAAGTCCAACTCAGAAAAAGAGAGTGAGAAAAAGTATATTGTACTTGTTCAATGCACAGAGCCTATGTTTTTCACTATATCAGCTTATTTTATACATACACATGTGTGTGTGCACACATACAAGGTCTATCTATACACACATATCAGAAAAAAATAAGTAATGAATTAATCTCTTCCATCATCTTCATATAGTCAATAAAATACTGACAGCAACAGTATCTTCAAATAACCCAGGTGATGACGACTACTCTAACTTGACTTCAACCAACTAGGTATGCAATTATCTAAACACTTCTATCTTTCCTGCCATCAACATTTATTATGTTAATGTAAGGACAAGAAGCAAGTTAAAAGTGTGGAAAGCAATTTACTCCAAATATTTTCTTCTCAAAGAAAAAGCATTATCTCTGAATACAGTTCCAATACACGAATAGATAACATTCTAAAGCATAAGTTCAACAGTCTAAACATAGTTATTTTTCCTCAAACATTTCATAAATACTTTTGCCTAAAGAGCAATTTGTCAACACATGCAATTTAAATTACCACCTACATAGCACCAAATTACTAGCATAAATAGCATGTAAATTCATGAGGGTAATGATTGCATCCTTTCAAGTGTTTTCTACAACACTCAGTACAAGGAAGCTTATTAAACATTTATGATGTTTCATAATAAAAACAAAATGACAAAACAAAAATCGTTATTCAACTTGGCTATCATGTATAATATAAACCACTGATCAGTATTTGTTTCTCCAAGTGCAATTACAAGAAATCGAAAACAAAACAAATCTCATTCTAATTAGAAACTCTCTCCTCCATCCAAGAATATGTTTTATTTATGCATCAGGAAAAAATCGCCAGGCCACCAGTAGATAACATGCAACATAACTGGTTAGGATATTTAGCCTAAGCATTTATGCACTACAAGCAATTCCTGGGTTTTGAACAGGCGACTTACTTACAATGCAACTTACTTATAACCCATTTGACCCATAGTTACAAACCAATCCCCATAAAGCCAAATTTGAGGTACATACAATGGTTCATAATAATAAATGGGTGCTGCTTTGCAACGTGCATCAAAACATTATTATTATCATGTTAAGGATGTTTTAATATATCTGAAAGTATTTATTTATTGTTTTTTATGCATAGAAAGGTACACTACATACTATACACAGAGACAAACATTCATCTAATTGACATTAGACATCGTACCTAACTGTTCCAACTTACATACAAATTTGACTTAAAGACAGAGTTAGGAACAGAACTCATTCATAATCTGAGGACTGCCTATATTTACAAAGCAAAAAGTCTACATTCCATGCACATTTTTTAAGACATTTTCCTTACCTTTTCCATTTTGCCATGTAGTATACCAAGACAAAGTCAGGAACGAGGTGATAAATGCTAAAGCAGTGGCTACAGTTCCATTTCGGAGCCTCATCTCATTTCACCATCACACTGGTTCATATGTTTATGATGATAACCAGGACTGCCTTCTTTTTATCCTGAAGTCAACAAAACTGAGTACTCCTGGCTCGAGGCCAATAAAAACAATCAATAAGAGACGTTCATTTCAGATGCTCTGCAGAATGAGTCTAGCAGCAATACTATTCACCATTGCTATTCAGGGTTGTCTTCATGATCTTCAGATGTTGATGTCTCAAGCTTCTTCCTTCCTATTCAGGAGGAAAAGAGAAATAACTTGTTTAGTAATGCAAAATATTTGTTTCTTCATTTATTACTCACCATTATAAACACACTTTTGAGAGGGCTAAACTGCATCTTTCAAGATTATCCCCACTTCTAAACTCATTTAATATACTAGAATCATATGAGTCCTTCGCCTTCAGGAAAAAAGCTTCAAACTATTTTCCTTCCTGATTTGTTTTGTCTGTGAATAGAAAGTCACAGCTACTTAAGGGGGGCGTTATGGGACTCACTAAATAGGGGACACAGATTCCAAGCTGAGAACTCTAGTGATCACACAATGGTTCCTGAGTAACATAATCCTCACTCTCCCAAAATTTCCTATTGTACAATAATAATACTTCAAAATATAAGAAAACCATCATATTATACCATATAAGGGTCAAAGACCTAATTCCTAGACCCAACTCAGTTATTATTTAACACGATTACAGGCACATCACTTATCCAAGCCTTGAGGTTTCATCAGTAAAACGAAAACTCAATCTGCCTTATTTCCTCTTCCAAATTTTATCATAAATTTTTTTTAAAAAAAAGGTTATTATTGCAGTTTATCATCATCATAAAATCAATGTCATTTTCCCCATGATTAAGCTACTCCCAGGGAATATTTAGGCATTTTAAAAATGCAGCAATCCAAACAGAATACTGGATGACCTAGGACCCACCACTCTGCATTGCTTTAACTCAGGAAATCCAAGAGATCACCACCTATCTAACAAGTCTGTTGAGAAAATATAAGAAATGAGATTGTAGGAGTACCTAAGCACAGTATCCAGCACACAACAGATTCTTTAAAAATGTTAACTGTATAAAAAACAAACAAAACAAAACAAAAACTACAGCCAGCCATCAGTTCAGACAGTTCCACATATATGGTCCCATTCCCTGCAAGTATTTCAGGCACTCAGAGATGTGCATTGATTTTGGTGGCCTCCAGGGTACCACAAAACGCACTTGGCAGTATACTAAACGACACTCTAGTGGGGTTAGTTAATGCACCTCCAAAAATACCTAAAATCCCAAGGGACAATTCTCTCAGTGGAAGAGTATGACTGATGAAAGCAGCCATTTGTAGGCAATTCACCTCATTTATTTTATTTAACAGCAAAAATTTCCACAATCTCCACCACTAAAGAAATATCACTAGGGCACAGTATTAGTAACAATGATAGGCAAAGCAACTCAATGAGTGTTTCCTATGTGCTGGGTCCATTGTAAGTTTTGAATCTTCACAAAATCCTATGAGTCAGGCGTTATTAACCCTATTTTACATACAAAGAAGCTGAACCCAGAGAGAGAACTCTAATTTGTGTGCTTCCAAAGTTCACTTCTTATCTAAACCCTTTGCCTCCCACACTAGACCACCCACACCTTGGCACAGGGATCCTCCAAGCCTCAAGTTAAACTGGGGAATCTTCCAGAGTGGTAATTTTGCCCAACAGTAAGTATGAATTCAAATTTGTTTACATTCTGGAACAAACATGGATCTATTACAGAATAAACTGAAAAATTCCCAGGGAATTTTTAAGTTTAAACATAGAATTTTAAAGAAATTTCTCACTTCTGGCAGCCTTTGGGTAAGACCCCCATTACCCCTTAGGCCTGTCTGTTAAGCCTCCTGTACCAGCAGCTCTAAAACTCTGGTATAACAGTCTAGAAGCACTGAACCCTACTTACTACCTTGCTACTTCTTTCTACCTGAATACAAGAACCTCAAAGATATTCTTACCTATAACTTACCACTGTTTGCTAAGACCAAATTTATTCACCTTGTATAGTTAACAACAGTAAAGACAAGTTGACATAAAAAATTGTAGCTTCTATCTGCAGTTTAAAATTCAAAACCTTTATGGAGAACTCTTATGTTTAACTGAATTCCACAAAGTTAATAAAAAGCTTAATATATTGTCTTACATCAATAATCACCAAATAATGAGTTCTGATTATAAAAATAGAGGTGATAACTTAATGAATTACATAACATGGAATTTTGATTGTGGCTTCATATAAAATGCTTACAACTTTCTGTTGCTAAATACTTAGCCCTATTCTACCTCCAAAAACACCTTGTCTTAATAAAATCTAAACACTATACAGGTTATTAGAGTAAGCATTCAATTAACAACAATGGAGAAGGAGATCAATACAGAACGATAAAGAGTATTTTAAAATACAGTTTCATTAGTTACAAATAAAGCCCATGTGATAAAATTCAGTAAAAATGGGTAGAAACAAATAAATGATTTCTAAAATCAAAGTAGACTATAGAGGTCATATGCAAATTTCATAATATAGGAAAAACATAATATAAAATCCTGGATCCACGGAGGTTATCGAGCTCTGGTTTGATGAAGATACCTACAAAGAATTCTACTGACAAATATGACCTCAACTTTTGCAAAAAAAAAAAATTAGAGCATTTTACTCAGTAACAATTTAGTCATACATTTTTAGTTAGGGTTTGCAAATAATACAATTTAACTGTACAGCACAAGGGAAGTCTCCACACAAGAGAGAAACTAATGATTTACATGCTTTTAAACCCTGAAGGCAGTTAGTTCATAGGCTGGTTTGTAACAACCAAGTCAATCAAGAACCCTCTAGATTGACTATGTAAAACCAAAGAGTGACCCAAATTTTTACCATTTACAAAAATTTTCATCTAACATCTTAATAGTCTCTGAGACTATCCCTTAACACATGTGAATCTTTAACAACAAAGAGAGTGTCTAAAATCACTATTCATCTCCAACCTGCCAAAAATGAGCAGAACCTTCAGCTCTAGACCTCAGACTGAGAAATCTGCATTGTTAACAGTCCTTTAGGGGCTGCAGTCCTTCATTTTACTAGTAAATACAAAATCTTTATTTTACTTTAAAGTGTACTCTGAAATAGTATTTTCGATGGCTGACAACACTTTACTGAACGTTTGCAATATTCCTCAATCACCATGCTACAGACAAGACAGGTACTTGAAGAATGAGATCCATGATGAAAGTCCATATAACTTTATACACATCAATTATCTTAAAATTCATTCTACTTTTACAAAAGGATTAATATTTTATTTAATACAGCTTACGTGATCTCAAAATCCAGTGCAATTTCAGATTTACACTTGTGGGTTAAAGAAACCTGTCACGATAACCTGTTAATAAAACTATCTTTTTTTTTTTTTATCATTCAGAAAAAGAAATATAAACCACAAAGTGCTTATTATTTGACCCCAAATTTAGGTGTTAAATTCAAACGAACGGCTTTATCGTTCTTTATCATATATCAAAGAAATTGTAAGACTGTTAAAACACAACAGCAAAATATATGGAAAGCTTAATTGAAAATATAGATTGTGCCTACTTCACAATTTGAATTATAACCGATGAGTAGGCTCCACAGAAAATAAAAGCGGGCACGCTAGTGGTATGATTGTCAAATTTGAGATGTCACCTGGTACTTAGTGGCATTACCTAGACACAATCTAAGGGTCCTACTTGCAGCCTTATTAAGGAGGAAACTGAGGCCTGGGGGGTTGGGGTGTGCTGTTTCACTCTGGACCATCAGGTCTTCACATCTTCACTTTCTACGAAAATTCACTATAAGGGACGCACACCTTCTCACCCCGGGACCTCTACGTCCTGGATCGCCTCGCCGAGCCGCACCTGACAGGCAGCCCTGTGAAGGCGCCCGCTACCTAGGAAGCGGCAGACGTCGGCCCTCTGGCCGCCCGGTCCCACAACCAACTCGCCCTTTCCCCATCCCAATCCCCAAATCCACACTTTGCTCCACTTCACCCAAAGTCTACGACCCTCGCCGCGCTGGGGTGCTCCGGAAACGCACAAGGAACCTGGGCTGCCGGCCCGCCAGAGGAAGAACGTCCCGCACCGAGGGGCTGTGGCGGCGGTGGCACGGGGCAGCAGCGCGGCCCCTCCGCCCCTCAGGCCCAGCTCGCTTCGCGGGCCAGCGGTGCGTGCAGCGCGCGGTGCGCGAGCTCCCAGCCCGGCCGTGGCGCGGGCGGCGCCGTTACCAGCAGGTGGATCTCCCGCAACCAGGGCGCCGCAGAGCCGGGGTACCGGCACCGCCCCTCAGTCCCACTCCCCTCCGCGCAGCCGCCCTGCGCCCCCGCCTCGAAGCCGCCCGCGCACGGCCGTCGCTGCAGCTCCGAGCCCCTCACCCGCTGCAGACGCTGCCAGTCCTACAGCTGCCGTTGCCGAGATTGCTGCTCCTGCCGCTGCCGCCGCTGCCCGCCGCCCCGCCCTCTCCGCGGTGACTCCGCCCCCGCCACTGGAGCACCGCGGCGGCCCCGCCTTCCCCGGCCCCGCCCGCGACCCCGCCAGTCATTGGCCGCCGGCTTCTGGGCGGTGGACCACTGGGCGCCCCCACGCGGCCGAGCTGCTCCTGTCAATGGCCCGCCTGGCTGTCATTTAGAGGCGCTGTCTCGCAACCTATATAACTCTCGTGAGATTTTTTTTTTCCCCCCCCCTCTTATTTAATGTCACGGCGACGTTTTGAGTGGTGTCTTCGTCTCCCGTCACAGGGACAGATGAAAACGCCGCAGGCTCTGAGAGCGCGGCGGGCTCCCCACTGCCACATCTGGCTTTAATCCTCCCCAGCGTATGTAGAGGCACCCCAGACTGCCTCTTCCCCTAACTGCTGGTTCCGTTACTGGCCGTCATGCCTGGGAAGCATTCCCGCCCTAATCCAACAATAACTTTCCAGGCCCTGGGATTCCAGGCATTATTACAGTCGCTGACCATCGCGATAGCTCAGCGATGGGCTTCATTATCCCCAGTTTACTGGAACTCAGGGAGAAAGACTGATTTAAACAACCAGAAACAAGAAACATGACCAGGATTTAAAAGCAGGTAGTTTTGATGCTAAACCTCCCAATTTTCCCACTTCACCCCACTGTTCTGCCCCCTTTCTTTTAAACTCCATGTT